ACTTCTCAAAGTTGTAAAATATTAAAAGAACTCCTTGTCCTTCAGTAAATATGGTCTGGACTTCAAAATTTGGGTACTAAACTCCAGTCACAATTCTGTTACTAAGCAAGTGCCTTGAAACAGGTAAGTTGCTTTACTCCTTAACTTGATATCTTGAAGACTTTACTTCTGAAAATTCAGGCCCAACAATTTTGCCAATGATTCTGACCCCATAGGGAAGAACGGAAATGTCCTACGGGATTCCCAACACCAATTGTCCAGTTAGAAACAGGGCACTTAAGCATTGTACCACGAGAGTTTCTCCTTTCAATCTTTACTTTGGTTTTAAACCTCGTGACTAAAGGATATTTTAAAGTCCTGTAACATTTGCAGGCACCATAGCCAATATGAACTATTTTAGAAGTCAGTACTTATGAACATCATGAAGGTAGTATAAAAAAAGGTAAGTTCATTAGCTCTTCCCTATGAATTAGAAAATTCTAGTTACTTATTGTAAATCAAAACTCAAAAGACCGTTGTTGTCGAGTTGGAGGTGACACATGGCTGATCTTCCAGTACATTTTCAGATTGTAAATCACAATGGGGGAGACTGCCCATCTCTCTCCTATGGAGATACAGGTAAATTTGAACCTCCAGAGAGGTGTCACCCATAGATGAACAGTGCCCCGCTCTATGGACTGTACCATCAGAGCTCATGTATTATATAGAATTCTGTTTATTTCATTTTTATAATGTTTGTTGCTAGTGTACAGAAACACAATATAAATTATTGTATGTTTATTTCATACCTTGTGACTGTGTTGGAGTAATTTTGTTTTTGGTTTGGGGTTTTGTTTTTTTTGTTTTCTTTAAGCCATGCAGTATTCTTTTGTCCTGTTCTCATGACTACTTCTGGGTCAATGTACATGGTTCACATAAACATAATTAAGTGTGCTAGAATTCTCATTCTTATTAATGTTATCCATAACTTGTCATGATTCACACTATCCAATGTTCTTGAGCAGGCAATAAAATACAGGAAAACATCTTCCTGATACTTTAGCCAAGACCTTCATATGACCTCAGCAGTGATAATTCTTTGTTCCATATCTTCTGCTGAGTCTACCTTGAATTTCTGGTGGTTCTCTGCATATGTTACACCAGACCATTTTGTATATATTTTATGTAAGATTTTACATGCATGTGATATTAATGATACTGTTCCATAATTTCCACATTCTGCTTGTTCACCTCTTTCTGGAACAGGCACGAATATGGATCTTTTCCAATTGGCTAGTAGGTAGCTGTCTTCCAGATTTCTTGACAGAAACAAGTGAGCATGTCTAGCACTGTATCCATTCATTAACATATGTCTGGTATTCCACCAATTCCTGGAGTCTTGTGTTTTTCTTGCAAATGCCATCAGTGAAGCTGAGTGTCTTCTTTCAGAATCATTATAAGTTCTTGATCATATGTTATCACCTAAAATAGCTGAGCATTGACCAGTTCCTTTTGGTAAAGTCATTCTGGGTGTTCCTCACTTTATCTTTTAATGCGTTCTATCCTATGAATCCTTTAATATGACAACTTGAGGCTTGAATTTGTTCTTTGGTTCTTTCAGTTTGAGAAATGGTGAGTATACATCGTTTTTTAGTTTTCTAATTCCAAGTCTTTTTGGATTTGATTACTATACTTTACAATAATCTTTACAAGTGGCCTGTTGAAATCTCACCTCTCTTATTTCATAATTTCTTTAATTAGCTTTGGTTACTCTCCATTTTGCTCTGACGATAGAGTCCACAGAGAGTTGTTCTACTAAACCAAAGGCCATGTCTGGGAGTTTGAATCCACCAGTGACTCTTTAAGAGAAAGATGAACAATCTTCTGTGTGGTTTGCAGTCTTTTCTGACATTCATTCTGGTCATTTCTTTATTTTTTTTTATTTTTAATGACGTTGTTGTTTTTTGCATGTTTGATATTCATTGTGTCATCCTGAAACATGTATGCTTTTCAGAGTTCAATGTATCAAATCTTTTCTTGATATAGTCTCTAAATTCTAATCCCTAACAAAACCAAACTTCATATGTTGGTATACAATTATTACAAATATTTAGATAACTAAATGTCTTGCCATCTTCTAGGACTATTTATGGTAACTTTCTATAAATATTATCATCTTCTGGGGTTTTTTTTTTTGCTGGTGTGTTAGTTTGTTTGTCAATATTTGTAATTCATTCCTGGCATGATACTTTGACATTTTGATGCCCTCCACACTCTACACTTATATTATTTGGAAATAAATTATGTCAAAATGCACAATTTGCTATTAAAATAATTAATCAGGATCTAATTATACAATGCTATTATGAATACAGATGTCCTATAATCAGGAGTCTCTTACATTGATTAATACTGTTGTTATTATGTTATTTGTTGTTGTCATATATGGCACTGAGTCAGAATCAACTATTGCTGACCCTGAAATGGGTTTTAGCAAATATGCAAAGAGAATTGATGCCTTTGAGCAGTGGTGCTGGAGAAGAGTATTGAATATACCATGGACTGCTAAGAGAACAAACAGGTTCATCCTAGAGAGAGTGAGACCAGGCTGCTCCTTGGAACAAGGATTCTGAGTCTTCATTTGACCTACTTCGGACATGTTGCAAGAAGGGGGCAGTCCTTGGAGAGGGATGTCATGCTTGGGAGGGTGGAGGGACAGCACAAGAGAGGAAGACCCTTGATGACATGGACTGATTCAGTGACTGGGGAAATGGGGGTAGGTATGTCAGAGACAATAAGATTGGCACTGGATAGAGCAGGGTTTAGGGCTCTTGTACATGGGGTTACTATGAGTTGCAGGTGACTTGACGGCACATAACAACAACAACAACAACAACCAGATCACATGGAAGGACATTGCTCATCTTTCTCCCGAGGATCAGATGGTGGATTCTAACCATCTGCTTTTGAGTTAGCAGTATGACTTCTCACCCCCTAGACCACCACTAGAATATCAGAACTAGAGTTAATGTAACTGGAATGTTGTTGTTGTTATGTGCCATCTAGTTGCTTTCAACTCATAGTGACCCTATATACAATAGCCCTGAAACCTGCTCTTTCCTGTGCCATCTTTACTATCTCTCACACACCTATCCTCATTACCCCAGTCACTGTATCAATCAATCTCATTGCTGGTTTCCCTCTCTTTATCAGTCCTTCCATCCAACTGGAATAAGTTATATTAATATAAAAATATTTTGTGACATATATTTAAAAATATTAAAACATCAAGCTTATGGTATCTATTTAAACTCAATAAAAAGAAAAATTCCCATCATTTTTCATGATAATCCATTAAAAGCAGTAAAGTTATATTTATTCATGAAACATAACACAATGAGATTTTTTTTCTACTGCTGCATATTAATATCTCAGATCTGCTGAGAAACTCAGTCCATTAAAGACTGATAATTCCTTTCTCTAAGTGTGATGGTCCATTTGGCACACAAAAGAGACGATAGATTTTAATTTCTTTTGTATTCTTTAGTTGCCTTTTTAAAATTCAAGATACTTGCCACAGAAACGTGTGGAGGGGAAAGGTAGAACAATAAGACAATATTCTCAGTGTGTCCAGGGACAAATCAGTTCAGATATCAAGCCCTACGCACAATTCTTCAATACCACCAATTAGGAACCAACTTATAACTGATCCTTCAGTAGGTTTTTTTAGGCTGTAAAGCACATGGGGGAGAGAGTGGCCATGGTTTTCTTCTCCACAGAGACAAAAGTGGATTCAAATGCCCAGAAAGGCTCCCTCTTTAGGTTAACAGCACAACCCCCTGCTTACTATGTCACCAGAACTCCCTTACAGGTCATTGGTATTCTAATAAAGGAAGAAAGAGCCGAAGCTCTCATTAACCATAACCGATTTGTCCTGCACTGCAAAATTCACAAGAAGTATTTTGTGAGCCTTGCCAAGAAATATAGAGGGATTCATATCTAGCTTTAAAGGAATTCCCAAAAATTCATGTTCAATGTCTGGTTCAATAACTGTCTGTATATAATATGTGAGAAAATGATATAATTAAAAAAAATAATGGATTGCTTACATTCAAATACATGCTTAAAGAGCCATTTTAATCTTGTCATTCTTAGATTTGAAGAGCATAGGCCATCAGTTTAGATTATTATTATACTACTCCAACATGTTACAATCTTTATCCATTGACTAACATTTGCCATTTAGACATAGAAAAAGTCACAGTGGCCTAGTGGCAATAAGCTACACTGCAATCCAAAAGGCACAAGGGTTTGAGGCCACCAGCCCTCCCATGGCAGCAATGTCCTCCCGTGAGATTAATTACCTCTGAAAACCCACCAGAATGTCAGCTGTGGGTTGGTTTGAACCATAGAAAAGTAAAAATTTGAATATTATTCTTTGCTTCCAATGTCATTTAGGCTGATACAAATCAGTCCTGCATTAACTATATTGAATTCTGCTTTAGAAATATGTTGTTGTTGATTGCCTTTTAGTCAAACACGACTCATAGCGACCATATGAACAAAAGACTTGAAGCCCTTAACTATCATCATTTCTCCAGGTTCATAGAGTTTCCAGAGGCATGTGGTTTAAGAAGTGGATGCCACTCCTGCTTCCAAACCTGTCTTAAACTTGGAGCTCCACCAAACACTGTCCACCATGCACAGCTGTTATGACATTTGATCCCCAGTGGCACAAAGTTCAGCTTCACAGCAAATCCAGATTACCTCAGTTCAGCAAATTGACAGAGGAGTGCTGTACGACTTAGAAGAATGTTCCTCCAAAATGAAATAACACTAGGCTCTCGGGCCCAACTGACTTTTAAATACAAGAAATATAACAATTATTTTAACTAAAGACTATTAGGTGACATTAAAATTTTAGTAAATAATTTATTTCACTATATATTGAAGCATTAGTTTAATGTATTATTAAAACAATCTTGAATATTTACGAAAAATAGAAAATAATGAGTTCTTACCAAGTTTGCAATGATATAATGGTAGCCTTTAACATGCTTTCCAACACTTACAATCTGTGAAGACATAAAAATAAGAGAAAAATCAACTTAACTTTTCTGTATGGTTATTTTAAAAAAGAACCTTAAGAACTCTATCATAAGGCTTCATGAAACAATGATGACAAAATTATATATTTCCTTTGATAAAAGTTATATATTCAAATTAGGAGAATCTTACGAGCTACCTTAAAACAAATAGTTTAAGCAAAAAATGCATTTTTATTTCAAGTGACTTATAATTTCACTATATTTTGTTCAGAAAACTAGTATTTTATCTTCTCACTGAGAATGGCAATGCTATGAGATGAAATAAGGGTATCAATGTATTTTCAAAAGAACAAATTAACCTAAGAAGTAAAAGTAGTCCCAGATTATTGAAATTCAGTGTAAGCTGTTAGGAAACTTCAATGATAAGACCCATTGTCTTTAAACACACCGTTATTTTGCAGCTACATGAAAGTTATAGCAATATTTATAATAACAAAGATAAAGAAAAAAATCAATGGGTTTTTCTTGTTAAATTAATTTTCTTTTTCTCTGGTTTGTTCTTTGAGGATGAGGGGATTGTTGGGTTGTTGAATGTTTAGAAAACTAGAAACTCAAGTATTTCAAAAGGAAATGATAAAGATTTTTTTTGAGAAATTGCAGCTTTTTAAAGCACTAGCTTTTAAACGGTTAGCCTCTGAAATGACTATAAATGTGTAACCTCACAGGTTGAAGAATCAAGGTAATGCTTTTAATTACTTCTAAGACCTCCTTGTATTCTACAGTTCACTATAATGCACTTAGATTTAACTTTTTAATTTTTATTTCCATTGTTTTAGATTTAGCATATAACCTGGCTGAGAGAATTCTTGCCTTTCAGAGGTTCTGAAAAATTCTCAGCCAACACCCTGAAAATATCCTTTCAAAGATGTTCCATGTTGGTTTCTAGCAGAGTGTTAAGTTGATATCACTGTCCTAGGACCATATTTATATTTTTGTCTTAGTTTTAGGTTTCTTTCGCAGCAATTCCAAAATGTAATCTGTTTTAAGAATAAGGTTGTGATGATAAATTCTCCATGAAAATAATTCCCGCAAAGTGTCAACACATAAAACACTTAATTGACTCTTTAAATAGAAGCAAGCTATTTTTTGACTGTCCTCTTTCACTAAAGATAGTGTTGGTCAGTTGCCTGGCTTTCTACTGGGAGTCAGAATTATAAGTCATTGCCCTAACTAAGGGTAAAATGCCTGTACCTAGACATTACAACTCCAATCAGAATACCCAATCTGACAGCCTCCTTCTGAATAATCTGCTTTTATTCTTGGTCCCTGAAGATTTGATTTATTTTCTTGAACATTCACTTGCACATGTATAATGTTTTTATAGCATGTCTTCATTTTGCTAGATTTATCTAGTCTTCATGCTAGATTTATCTAGTCTAAAAATGTCTTTCCTCAACAAACTTACTATAAGGAAGAGGGCACACAATTGGGAAATTGGGTTATAAGAAAACCCAGTAAAGAAACAGCCTTCAAAATGGTTGATTAATCTAAACCTTACTAAATTAGCGTGGGTTGAGTAGAATGGTATTGGCTGTGTGCTGTCGAGTCAGAGACCCTGCAGCAAGTCGTCAGAGGAAGTAAATCTCACAGATGGAGATTTCCCATTGTTACCGATGGAGCTGCTGCAGTTTGAGCCTCGTATTTTACTGTTGTTGCACAGGTTCTTATTACTATGATTGGTCTTAAATTCTCTGGGAATCTTAATGGTTAGAGCAAAGGGAGTTATGGTGGCCCAGTGAAAAGAAGGTCTGCTGCAATCCCAAAGACAAGAAGTTCTAATCCATCAGCTGCTCCCCAGGAGAAGGATGGGCAATTTTGTCCCATGTGATTTATAGCCTCTAAAAACCTACTAGAGGGTCAGTAAGGAGTTGGCTCTGACTTGACAGCACACAGTAACAAAAACTCATCCATGAGTCCTGTTGGCCTAGTGGTAAGGAGTTGTGCTACCAAAGGTATGAGAGTAGAATCCATCAACTTCTCCACATGAGAAAGATGGACAAGCTCCTCCCCTGTGAATCACAGCCTCTGAAAACCTCATACAGGAGTGTCAGCTATGAGTTAGGTTGATCAACTGAAAGAAAGGTATGTGATTTAAATCCACCAACTCTTCGAAGGGAGAAAGATGGGCACTCTCTGCCCATGTGATTTCAGCCTTTAAAAACCTCTTAAAGAGTCAATATGAGTCAGTTCTGACTCAAGGGTAATGAATGAATGGCTCAACTGGAGTCAGTCACCCTGTTTATTTTTTTCCCCCCTTCTCATATTTATTTTTTTTCCTTCTTTCCTATTATTTTATTCTTTTTTTAAATTTCAATCCATTCATCGTTGCATACTTTCCTCCCTGCTCATCTCTACCCTACCCCCCACTCCCTGTTCGCTTTTCTCATTAACAAGTAAAACAACAACAACAACAAAATTATTTCATTGTTATATACCTCCGCCCCACCCCCAAGTCCACTTCACTATGCAGGTTTCATTCTGGACTCTTGTCATGACAATAATACTTAATCATACATTCCTTCTAAGCAGTACTCTGCCTCATCTGTTTCAATGCAGTATACATTGTTTATCTCCTCTTAGTTTCCCCCCAAATTTGATGTCAGTCCCGCTTTACAACAGTGACACTATTCAGTATTTGTTCTTTTGTGACTGAAATATTTCACTCAGCATAATGTCCTCCAGGGTCACCCAAGTTTGTATAATATTTCTTGAGTTTCTTGTTTTTTGGACTTTTTTTTTTTTTAGAAGTAACATTGTTTATTTCACGAATCTGTTTTTCTTATCGATTAAAGGCCGGACAGATCGCGACACCCAGGCATCCTGCAAAGTAGGCGGGTCACCTTAGGGGCAACATTTACCCGCTCAAAAATTCTTCTTACATTAGCTGTGAGGATCCAGGCGTCACCTCGGATCGTTATTTTGAGTTCCTTGTTTTTCAGTGCAGCGTAGTATTACATTGTGTGAATATACCAGAGCTTCTCTATCCATTTGTTTGTTGATGGGCACTTAAGTTGTTTCCACCTCTTTGCTATTGTAAACAAAGCCACAATAAAGATGGGTGAGCATATATCTGCCTGAGTGGCAGTTCTGGTTTTTTTAGGGTACATTCCCAATAGTGGAATTGCTGGGTCAAATGGTATTTCTATTTCCAACTTCTTGAGAAAGTGCCATACTGCCCTCCATAGTTGTTGCACCATTTTACAATCCCACCAAAAGTGAATAAGGGTTCTGATTTCTCTGCAACCTTGCCAGCATTTGTTTGCTGCTCTGTTAAATTTTGCAATTCTTACTGGGATGAGATAATATTTCATTGTAGTTTTGATTTGCATCTCTCTTAGAGCTAGGGATTTTGAATATTTCTTCATGTATTTGTTAGCCATCTGAATGTCTTCTTTGGTGAAGTGTCTGTTCATATCCTGTGCCCATTTTCAGTTGGGTTACCTTTATCATGTTTTGGTGCTCGACTATTTTATAAATTCTAGATATAAGTCCCTTTTCAGATATATCATTACCGTTCCTCTTCTCATATTTTTATTGGTTTGCATACAAACCTTGTGTTTCATGCATTTATGTTGTTTTATACAATAATTAATATATTTTGTATTTAGTTATCTGTCATTAGTCTTTTAAAGCTCCCAATTGAATTTTTTCTATTGCTTCGCACCATCTGCCCACTAACCTCTGCTCTTAGCTTTTTTCATCTCCTTCTCCTTTATCCCCTTCCCCTTTTGAACATTCATACACATCTTGTTCAGTTTTCTATTATTACAATGTTGTTGTTACGTGCCTTCAAGTCTCCTGTAAATCATAGTGACCCTATGTTAAACAGCTCTGCAGCCTGCCCTGTGCTAAGCCAGTCTCACTGACTCCGACACACATACCCCTATTCTCTGAGTTAATGTGTCAATCCATCTCATCCGGGGTCTTCTGCTCCTGTGATGTCTTCCTCTAAGAATCAGTCCCTCCTGGCCATATCCCTAAAATATGTGAGATAGAGCTTCAAAATCCTAGCATCCAAGGAGAAACTTGGTTTCACCCTCTCCAAGACAGACCTATTTGCTTTCTTGGTAGTCCATGGTATGTATGTTCAAGACTCTTCTCCAGCACCAGAACTCAAAAAGTCATCAATTGTTCTTCTGTCTTCCTTAGTCATTGTCCAGCTCTTTGATGCATATTAAGTAATTGCTGTTTCCATTTTCTTGCTACTGTGAATAATGCTGCTATGAACAGAGGTCTACACATCTCTGTTCATTTATCAAGTCTGATTTCTTTGGAATATATTCCTAGCAGTGGAATGGCTAGGTCAGAAGGGATTTCTATGTTTAGCTTTTTGAGGAAATGTAAAATTGTCTTCCAGAGTAGTTGTACCATTTTACAATCTCACCTAGCAGCACATGAGAGTTCAAATCTCAGCATTCTTTCCAATATTTATTCTTCACACTGTAATTGAGTTCACAAGAGATTCCTGCTACTTGACCCCAGCAGGAATTGTTGCAACTCGGTAATCCATTAGTAATCTCTTGCTGATTTAGTACTACTTTCTCTGGTGTGATTATTTAAGCCTGTTTAAACTCTCTTTAAGCTCTATCCTGCTTTTTCCATCTCAACAGTCTCAGCTTGTGATTTCTGTATAACTGTGGTCAAGAATCTTTTTTAGTTTTCTAAAAATTCATTTTAAGGTGTAAACAGTTCTAATGTTAAAAAGATGTGGAATTTGCAGAAATTTCTGTACTAGCTATATTCTTAAAAAAGGAAAAATAATATCAGTTCTAAATTCTAATAATTTAAAGTCCTTATTCTCAAAATGTGAGAACTTACAAAATTGAAAGGGCCTATTTTATAACAGCAAAGTTATACAGTATTTTTCCTTTTGTGACTGAGCTGTTTCACTGAGCTTAATGTCTTCCAGGCTCACCCGTGTTGTGTAGTGTTGTACAAGTTCATTGACATGGGAGGTTGGGGGAAGA